AAAAGCATCTTCCAGTCGAGGAAATCATCGACCACATGCCTATAATTACGGAATAAAAAGCACCACAAGATGGAATAACTCATTTTTCTGCTGATTGTGCTTCCCCTAGCTGCACAAAATATACACAAAGAATCTACGCGATGTTATAAACGTATACTGGGTGTGTCATGCCACTGTTCATGCCCCTATCAACATCATTAGTATAAGTAAAGGTGTATTGTGCTTTTCACTATATATAACAATACTTATATTGTCAGCGTCTTCGTGGAGATGTACCTTTAACTTGTAGTGAACCGTCTACAGTATCTTTTGGTAGCATTGCATACAGAAGTGCACATCAGCTATGTTTAGTCATTCTTTTCTAGTCAACGCTATCACTACTATTGAACATGCATTCATACATGATCGAAGTGTATCGTTCATAATTTAGATGTACAACAGACTGCGGCAAGCCCGAAGGCCGAAGCTGCTAGTAAGCGTATGTAAGGTGGTTATCGATTTGTCACCAGATACTTTCTGCGTGTTCGTGTGTTTGTGTATGTCTGCCTATAAGTTACGCATGTGTAAAACTCGCGTCATCTTAAGCACAGTTTTAGCAGAGTTTCTACTCGATGGGGCAACTGTAATGGGGCACGCTTTTACCAGATAACTGGTAGCCTTCGTACCGATACAGTACAAGGGTGTATGCCCGCAATAAATTCACGTACATCGTATGTGTAGAGGAAGTGAAGAACCTGAGTAAGAGTTGCTCATAGTCAGGGAAAAGCAAAAAAGGTAACTTGATATAGTTAAGTATCGTTGACAAACCCCTTTTGCTTACTTACATTACATTAAATTACAATCTTCCAATGCAGGATCTCACTCACCACTCATTGCGCACGTCCAGCAGCAATTTGTGGTTCATTTGGTTGATATCATGGCGTATGTCAACCCATTGTGAGGCGGTGCCGAAAATTATCTCTGCGGGTAATATTCCTCCAATATTGACTTGCAAGACTACTATTGTTTAAATGGTATCAATTGAGACAATATTTATAGGGAATTGCTAAATTCACACCCCTTTTCCTTAGATTCACACCCTTCCTTCAAAATCTTATATATAAAATCCCTTTTCATTTTAAGATTTAGAGCGAGAACGTCTGACTGCAGAAAGGTGTATCCATTGGGTAAACTTCAAATCACCAAAGAAGACGAGTAGCCTTAGGTAAGCTACTTTCGATGCAATGGGCGCTTATCGACCCAATGCTGTTAGCAAGATTGATAGAATGCTACGACTCACCTCTTGACGTGTGTATCTACGGAAACCCGCTACTTAGCGTCACACATGTCGGGGACATCAGACATGAAGAGCTCCGTATACGAAAATGTTGCGAACAGCCAACATTTATGATAATGGCAAGCTCACACCGCTTTGACATGTAGACTGTATGCCATTCAGCCGCATGGTAGCGCTGCAGTGGGTATACACTACAGACTCTCCCTTATCTTGCTTCGAGAACCACAGTTTGAGGGTATTTCTGCCTCTGCAATATCGCATCCGACCGCTTCGATTCTACTTTATCGATCATACTAAGGTGAGTGTTGACTTGGAAGGACTAACCCAGTGTTTGTGCTTGTACAGCCACTAGGATGTTGAGAGTAAGAACGTACCAAGCAAACGATCTCCACAATCAGCTCCTTCTTGTCCTTCGCATAAGCGGTGAGGACAACTCAAGCTCTGTACGAAGCAATGGGCAAAGTTGACTACTCACTGAACCTGCGATGCTACTTTCATCAGGAGCCACATTCCACTTCTTGTAACATGCACGGCGGGAAGTTGCGGTTGACACGTGCCTTCTGAACCTCTGAAGGGACAAGAATAGCCTCCATTGAAGAGGCAGAAGTGGTGCTTTCTCTTCCTCATACTCATTTACACACAAAGCACCTTCATTACCGGCATCGTCCACTTTGCTCCTCTCTTCAGCGGTACGAGTGGTCTTGTTGAAAAGGGTACCAGTAGCGGTCTGACCGTCACTACCACTGCCGTCCATTCGTTACGCGTGTTAGCTGTCCACCATCCTCGTTTACTTCGCGAAGTACATCCTCCATGATCTACGAATGATAATGGCAGGAGAATGCACAAACGGCAATGGTGGTTCCCGCGATGATCGCATCTTAGAACGAAGAAGAAGAAGCTACAAACGAGGAAGAAGAAGAGGGTATAACTTGGTCGGGGGAAAGGATACGACGGTAGACAGCAGCAATCGGATGGTAATACGAATCGTAAACGCCGAATGGACTGCTCCCGACGGTTGAGCCTGCTCCTAGCATTGGTGATTGAGGAGGTTGTCTCAGCCATAACGACCGGGTTCGGACCAGCGGCAGTGGCTGGACCGGTTGAGGAGAATGGTTCCTACCATTGGCATGCATTGTCAAATGTCCAACCAATGGTCGATACCATTGCCAATGGTTGACGGGGTGACTAGACGATGGCGTGTGGTGTCGGCAATGATATTTTCGAGCCATTAGCGATACTGAGTCAACACTGGTGGCACTGGTTGTCCTCCACTGGGACCGATATCCCGAAACAACGCGAACTGTGTAAACAATGGTCCGATCTGTGGAAGTGCACTCTCGAATACAACGTTGTTACAAATGGGATCGAAGGGATCCCGCACCGAGACACACACGTGCAAATATGGCTTAACGAATCGGTCACCCGCTTCTCATCCTCCGACATGCCGTACACAATCACCGTCGCCACTAGACAGCATCATAGTCAAAGCCATATCGTCAGAAACGCCGTGCCCTCAAGTGCCGTGCTCGCATACCTCTAGAACGCGTACTCTGTGGAAAATGGCCGCGTCATGTCTTGACCAACTCGCGTACTTCTTCGGACCTGCTGTCACAAGACGTCCCTCGTCAATTGCATGTCAAACGTTTGCACGTCCAACACGCAGTGAGCCAAGTGCACCGTCGCCCCCTGCTTTGTACCGCATCTGGACTGCAACGTGCGACAGTCGCGCCGTGAAACCAGCCGGTGGCGCCTGTCCAGTCAGTCTCTTTAGCGGAGCCCATCACTGGGTTTTCCCACTGTCTCGGAATCCCCACACACCACAGTCGAGGGACGTCCCGACGTATTGTCCATCGTCTCCTTCTCCTTCCTCTCTCTCTCTCTCTCTCTCTCTCTCTCTCTCTTATGGTTCAGTTTGCCAAGAAGCTCGCGGCGGCCCAGCGACCGGAATGGACCGGGTACGCGACGCTGTCAACGAGCCGTCTCGCTCTGTCGTTCGTTGTGGATCCACTTACTACCAACCAATTGACTCGACCAACCTGCTCTATTGGTGTGGATCTACCCGTTTGTCTGCCGGCTGTGCTGTTTTCTAGGCACTACCTCGAGTACAAGCAGCTCAAGAAGAAGCTCCGCACGGTGCTGCAGGCCCAGCGCGGGGCCACGCGCGCCGAGCAGGAGAAGTTCAAGCACGCGCTGGACTCGGAAGTCGAGCGCGTGGTGCTCTTTTTCCTGACGAAACAGGGCCACTTTGCTACGACGCTGCAGGACCTGCGCGCGCAGCAGCTCGAGCTCGCGCCGGGCGACCTCGCGGCCATGCACGACCTTGCCGACAAGTACCGCCGCGTGGGCGACGACCTCGTGCAGCTGCTGTACTTTGTCGCGCTCAATGCCACTGGGATCCGCAAGATCCTCAAGAAACACGACAAGACGCTCAAGGAGTACAAGATCATGGGGTCGTACCTGTCGTCCCGCACGGACTCGCAGGCCTCGCACATGCAGCAGCTGTACCATGACGAAGGCATCTCTGCCATCATTGCCAGCATTCGCTCGGCGCTCACGAAGCTCCGGAAGCTCGAGGTGCAGGTGGCCACCGAGGCCACGGATCGAGCTGTAACGCGGACGATATCCGAAGACGAACCGGTGCTGAGTCGCATTGGCCAAGCGCGTCGCCGCCTGCACCAGTCGACGCAGTATGTCAAGACCGTGGCCGCGCGGTCGCTGATCTTTGACGCCGAGTCGTCGGAAGACGAAGACGACGAGACGTACGACATGCTCAAGCGGCTGAAACAGGCGTCAAAGCCATCGCGCGTGCTCAACATGCTCAACACGTTCCTCTACATGACAAACTACTACATTGTCGCGCCAACGAGTGGCAAGTACGCCGCGGATTTGGGCGCCGACGCGTCCATGAGTGGCGTGATCGTGGGCATGACGCCCGTAGCGTCGCTCGCAAGTGCTGTGCTCTACAGTTGGTGGGCCAACCGCTCGTACAAGAACTCGCTGAGCTTTGCCACCGTGTGCCTGATCGTGGGCAATTTGCTGTACGGCCTCGCGCTGTCGTACAACAGCGTTGCAATGGCGCTCACCGGTCGCATGCTCAATGGCTTTGGCGGCGCCCGTGCCATCAATCGCCGCTACATTGCGGACAACTACTCGCGCGAAGAGCGCACACAAGCGTCGGCACTGTTTGTGACGGCAAGTGCACTCGGAATGGCGGCAGGGCCTGCGCTTGCCGCTGCACTGCACTATTTGCCCGACTACCGGTTTGCAGGCATTGAAGTCACGACCGAGTCTTCCCCGGGCTGGATCATGTTTGCGCTATGGGGGGTGTACCTCATTGCGCTCTTGGTGCTCTTCGAGGAACCGGACCGCATGGAACGCGAACGCTTCTTGGAGCAGCGCCGATTAACGCTGGAGAACGGCAAAATCCATGGGAACAAACTCGCAACGAGTGTCGACGTGGAAGAAGGTACGCCATTGATTTCGCGATCCATCTCGACCACAGGCACTGCTCCGACCTTGTCGTCCCTCTGGCACAACGTGCCCGTCGTGGCGTCGCTGTTCATCTACATTGTTCTCAAGCTGGTTCTCGAGTGCCTGATCACGGCGAGTTCGACTATTGCCATGTACCACTTCAACTGGGGGTCCAGCACCAACGGCATGTACCTGGCTGCACTGGGACTCCTGATGTTCCCGACGAATATGGTCGTGGGCTGGATGAGCTTTCGCTACGAAGACCGAGAGATGATGATGCTGTCGGAATGTGCCATGTTTGTCGGCGTGGGCGTGATCGTGAACTATGGCCACTACACTGTCGCGCAGTTTGTTGCAGGCGGTGTGCTGATTTTCATATCCACGAACGTGCTCGAGGGCGTGAACATGTCGCTCTTGTCCAAGACGATCCCAAGGGCTTTTGCCAAGGGCACGTTCAACTCGGGTTTGCTCGCCACCGAAGCTGGCACGTTTGGCCGGGCAATCGGTGACGTTGCGATCACCGTCGCGGGCTTGCCCGGCCTCCAGTATGTTCTCAACTGGACGTTTGTGCCTCTCGTGGGCATTTCTCTGGTGACGATTCTCTACACGGGCCGCGTGTACCACAAGCTCGTCACGGACGATTAGTGTAGCAGTCGAGCTGCAAGAAGTCGCGCAGGTGCTATCCTCGATCTCTTTTTTGACAGCGTTCATGCCGTGCTGTGCAGCCTAACGTTTTGACGTTGCGAGTATAGACTGGAAACCTTTTGCTGCTCTGCAGACCACCGCCACGATACACCATTCCTACCCTTTACCAGCGTCGCATTATGTAGTGCTTCGGAGTGCACTTTACAGCACAAAGTGTGACGACATTGGCGCTTGAGACAGCAATTGTTGCTTGACAATGCAGTACGAAGGTGTAGGCACGTCGATTGCCAAAGACTGCGAGCGTAGGTATGCAAAACCTGTTGCGCTTTTCAAGGCTGACAGCTTATCCTGTAGCAAGTTTGGTGGAAGTTATGCCATGTCGACGATGATTCGGTTATTGCATCGGGAATCGTGGCAGCATTGTTGACGAGAGGGGTTGAGAAGTGAGCTCATGATAGGCATAGCACGTCCTGTGCAAGTTTCAGCTTCAACTTTAGCCATCGTAACGTGAAGTCTCTCTTCGAACAGCGAGTCGAATGGGTATCGAACACCTTTGTGTCAACTATGTCAAGTAGGATGCTGTAGCCTGCTTCCGTCGGGTGTTTGAAGCTGCAGTTGTGAGGTTGAGGAGATGGGCAACGCAAAAGGTAGATGGACCAAGAATTCCTTTGGGCATGTGGGACATCGTTGGCGGTAATGGCCCGTCCTGTTGAGCCAACTACGATGCAAGTAGTGGGCTGAATTTGGCCGTCGGTTCCACGCATAATCATGTGCTTTGTTGTGGCATCTCGTCTTCAACGTCAACTCAACTTCTCGATGTGACACCACACAATATGATACTGCTTGTCCGCGGATCTGCCGCTTGTGACTTCGCTATGATGACCTGCTTGCGGTGCTCCGCGCTTTTGCTTCTTCCTTTGACTCGGCAGGCTACTTGGTAAAACACTGAGCCGTGTAGGAGGCTACTGCTGCAGCCAACCGAATCTCGATCGAATGCGTATCCTTATTGAATGACCATCTCACAAGTGGACGATATCGTGACGAGCCGATCAGGAAGCTGAACCAGGAAAGCTGATCGACGCTTCCGCCATCGTCACTAGCGTCAAGCAGCTCGATCTCATGACTGCTACAAGCCGTCAAGACGGGGATGAGGTGACCGACTGCAGCGAGTTCGTCGCGGCCAGGTCGAGCAAAGACTGGCCGCAGCCTACAGTTAACAAGCTCATTGACACTTGCGCATCGACTGTGGGCTTCGGATCATCACGGCTGGCAAGCTGCTGACGGCGCGTACCACCTACAGAGCAAAATAAAACAAACACAGGAGCCGGTCAGTCGGATGATGCCAACACGAAGCTTCACGCACATGAAAGACCTTCACATTCTAAATACGTGAGCAACTCAGACCTTGATATGAAACGCACGCCAGCAGCAACGACGTTGGGTGCAGGAACAGGATGAGGTCGACGCTGCCGCGCTATCTCGAATCAAATGTCAGGAGTCATCCCATTTGTATCGAGGTCAGCTGTGCGCAATTGTTGCGCGCAATTTTGATGGTCAATGTAGACAACGGTGCACGTAATGTCGTCATGGAAACTTCTCCGTACAGAGCCTTGCGACATCGACATCAGTTCGTGCATCAGCAATCCATCTCGATGCGCAATCTTCTCTAGAGCAGCATGGATAAGGGCAGCACTCGCAGTCGTGTAGAATAAAGACTGCTCTGGGTCTGTCCACAATAGAACGACGGTCAGTACTCGATGGGCCATTATATGTTAACATCATCGTACCAAATTTGTCCACAATAAGAACAGCCTCTTGTGGCGTCATGACGTCCCACAAACCGTCGCTTGCTAGTATGACGTACTTCTCACTACCATCCATGTCAACGGTCGAAATGCTAGGTTGCGATGTGATGTACGGCACTTTGCTCTGTGGTCGTACACGCAGCAATAGTTGTAACCCTCACAGCAACAGCAACAGCAACATAGGATGAGTGTGCCATCTACCTTGAACGGCGCCATACTCAGCTCTGGACACTTGAGGTAGAAATCACCGAAGGCGCGCGTCATTGCCAGACTACCAGCCACGCGTTGAGCACCTAGTGTGCCAAGTCCAGCGATCACATCGTCCTTGCTCATCCGGATAGCATTGCGATCGTGCGAGCGCTCGATCACGAGCTTGGTCTCGTGCGAATTGCTGCACGAATGATCAGTAGACACTTCGATCGCCTGTAGCTCTTTCGTCTCTTTGTTCATCTTTCCTAGCACAGCAGCACAGTCTCCTACATTTGCGACGTAAAGCGCCTTGTGAACGAACAACGCGATGACGGCGCACGACCCAGCGTTGCAGTAGCCCTTCGACAAGCGGATGTCGGGAGCAAGAGCTAAGAGCGACTGCTTCAATTCTTCATCGGCGCGCGCAAAAGCGCTCTCAACAATTGTACGGACCTCGTCGCTGGAGCTGTTGGATGTAATGTCGCCAAGTATATCCTGACACAGTGACGAGCGCAGGTGACTGCGCGCAACACATTGCTTATCCTTAGTATACGTGGTCGATCAACATTAGTTTGCATCCACGTACTCCACTGCTCTGGAGCCGCCGTGCCCGTCGAAAACGGCGTAAATCTGAACACTAGCGTCCATCGTCTTTACAACGTGCACGCTACGGTCTTCACTCGGACTGTTGGCCTGGACCAAAAGTACTCAGCACAGCTCTAGCTTACGTATTATCAACGGCATGCTACGTTACCTGATACTCTGCAGTGCAATGGCTCAATACGACTTGGACGGAAAGGTCTGTACTGGAACCTGCAATGCGTTGACGCTTCCTTGCTCCGTTGCTAGCACCACTGCTGTCCAATCCATTACTGAAGTCGACGGCCGACAGAAGTGATGGTTTCACTTTCACACCACGACTCGAGTCCCACAAGCAGCAATAAGTCACGTGGGCTGAGGCCAAGCTGTGCAACACATTTGCAGTCGTCGCGACAACGAAACTCACGCCCACAACGTCACACCCCAGCCTCGACAGTGCGTCTCTCGCCGCCAAGATGCTTTCTACCTCACCCACCGAGTCCACAACTGCACACAAAGAGCGAGGAAAAGAGAGCAAAAAAGAGAGACCGAGCGAGACAGACATTGCAGCGCGTCAGTGTGCGCTCCCCGAGCCCGCACAACAGTGCAGTCTCCTCTCTCACGCGCCGTCGTACCGAGCAATACCCTCTTTGCCGGCTTCGTAAATAGCTCGCGCTCGAGCTCCACACTCCACTCCCCACTTTCCTCGTCAGCCACCAAGCACTCGGGCGCAGCACTCGTTGTCTGGGCCGCAAACTCAGCGCCCTCCAACGTCCTCGTTTCCCCCATCTTTTGCTCCTCTTCAGTCTCCTTTTGCCTTCTCCTCTCCTCTCTCTGCGCCCACACCTCTCCATACGCTACAAACAGCAGCACCCACACATGAGCTCAGTCTCCGCCTCGTCACATGTTCACTCACCGCCTCCAACGGCCACAAACCGATCTGCTTCGCGCCTGCGACTGCTCCTGCAATGGCCGTCGTGAGGCTATACCCGGTCGTTCGGGCAAAGTCGGCCAAGCGCGTCTTGCGATTGGTTGAAAATCGGTCAAATCCATCAGAAGCGGGAGGTGATGCCACACGCAGCGCCACGACCTGAGCCACCTGCTCGGACTCGAACGGACGGTAGAGGTCGTCCACCAGCTGCTGCATCGCTGTCCTGTCGCTCAAGAGCGCGGCCACGTCCATGACGATCCGCAGCGCGTGCAGCACGAGACGATGTACGCTCACCGGTCTTGACAGCGAAGCACTTTTAGCCAATCACAGCGACACGCTGCGAATAGCGCGAGCGCTGTATTCGACGAGACGGAATACAGTTATACGGCGGCTGATAGAGCTCAAGCAAAAGAGTCGATGACGAACAGATAGCATGCAAACGTGACAAGTAGCGCGTGGTATTCTTATTTTTTTGCTCTCGAATAGCATTTGCAATGATTAGTTGTCACTGTCTACAGCAGACAGTCGGATTGTTTGTTGTGGGCTCATAGTGACCCGAAGGCTATCGATTGGAAGTCCGCGGGTGATGGAAGCAAAACCGCAGCCGCATCGTATTTGTGAGGTGCGTGAGTCACGTTTGCACGCATTCTGTACGCATTTGTCTCTCGGTGGACCATACATGCCTTGTCGGTGGTGATTTACTGCAGCCAGACCTTCTCGTACACTGCTTCACGCACAGACAAGAGGTGCTGGTACGTGTCGATGTTCGTATAGTTGGCCATGTTTTTCGAATGGCCCTTGGAGAACAGCGTGTCAAAGTGGTCTTCTTTCCGCGTGTACTCGCGCACAAAGTGGTTGCTACCGAAGAGATGGTGAATCCTCGTCTCGTGCAGACGTACGATGACGTGGTCCAGCCGCATCCAGTAGCGTGACAACACGTAGAATCCTGAAGCCATGACGCGCTGCAAGTGCCAGCATGAACAATGTCAAATCGAGCAACGGAAGGTGCCGCAGACACAGCCGAATCTCTTGCAAACTTACCACTTTCACCGACATGGCCGAAACGCCATGGTCGTGAAGCTCGTCTTCGTATAGACTGACATCTTCGAACCAAAGAATAGGCTCGCGCTCTTTTAGCTTTTCATAATCAATGCGATCGGCTGTAGCCTCAATCTTGACTTCGTCGTCACTGCTCGTCAATGTACTTGGCGAGCTCTTCGACTTTGTCAAGCGTTGGAGCGAGCCCTTGTAGTCGGTCGTGTACGTCCAGTCGTACGTAATGTCCAGCTCTTTCACGTCCTCCCTACATCCAACGTGCAATCGCACGTCAACACGTCACACCTGCTCCACCTTCTCAATCAGTCAGACCCAGAGCCTTACGTACTTGTTGGCGTTGTGCTTGGCAATAGCGACCTTGAGCTGCTTGTTGGCCACAATGTCCGCCGCTTGGTCACTGACTGGCGGAGGAAAGTGTGCGCCCTTCAGCGCTTCGACTGCCAAGAAGCTGTAGCACACGCCCGAGAGCTCGTGGTAAAGCACCAGCTGGTTCTTGCCAAACACCATCTCGGGCGGCGTCAGCTTAGCCGCTTGGCCGATGCTGTCAGTCACGTACAGAGAAGCACAGGCACTCGTCAGTCTCGTGGCTTCTTCAGCCATTGCTGTATACATGCATTCGTATACAAAGAGAGAAGATACGCACTCGTCCACAGTGTCAATGGGCGTAATATGGGTCTTGTTGGAGCCAATGACCCAATGGTGGAGACGAATTCCCTTGTGCTCCACAGGCTCCGCACGCGTCTCCATCTCGTTCTTTTCACGGCGAGAGTCGCCTAGATACACTGGAGAATTGGGCGCTGCATCGGCACCGTCGGCGGCAGTGTCCACGCTCTCGTACAGCGTCCGCAGTAGCTCGGAAGTGCCGTCGCCGAGCGTGTAGAAGCCGGTGGACGTCATTTTGGGTCTTTTTGCGTGTGAAGTAACGACTTTCGCGTGTTCTGATTGGTCGATCGATCGGTCGGTCGATCGGTCGATCGGGCATAGTTTTAGTCAGGCTACACTCTGCACGACAACAATGGCTACATTATCCGACCGCAGGTGAACGCAAATGTCTGTCGCATCGAGCCATTCGGTCCGGGCTATAGTGGGCATAGGCAGTCGAAGTGCAGCATCAGTAGCGGTGTCGTGGCCGTCACGTTTGGGTAAAACTGCTCTAGCAAAGCCAGCGCTTCTGTAGCTGACTCAAAGCCAGACTTGCGAAGCGTAGTTTGGTCGATGGCGACCAGTTCCTGCGTCTCGACCCGATCGATTCGCAAGTAGGCAAAGCGCGATCGCGTTGGCGAGCCACAAGTCGCTGCGGTTGTTGCTACGACAACAGAGTGTGGGAAGATGATTTCCAAGTCCGAGTTACAGTCGGCTTCGATGTCGGACAATAGACGCATCGTGATGGTCTTTGTGCCTTGGAGCACCATGTCGACGAGGTTCGCGCCAAAGTCCAGGCGCGGGAAGGAACGGTCCGTCAACAACTTTGCATCTTCAGCTCTCAGCACCGATCCGTTCGTTGTTTGCAGCACGGCGTGGAACAGGTGTAGGTCCTGCGTAAAACACGGGTTGATCTCGATCCATGGGCGGATGAGTCTGTCGGAACGCCGTCAGCCTATATCGCAGTCTCGTGACAGAGCGATTCCGCGCTATTCGTACCTGATCCGGTCAACAACGTCCAGCACACTCTGCTGCTTGGACTCACTTGCCAACATCCATGCTGCGACCACCGACACGGAGCGCGATCGACCAGCAATGCTGCAGTACATACAATAAAAAACAACACAGACAGCACCCAGTCACGCAACTCGTCGACGCAACGAGACACTGCCCCAGCCCAGTCGCTTGCGTACCAATGCACCAGCACGTTCGTATCGTCGCGCTCCGCTTTTCCTCTACACCCGTGCAAGTCAGCATGCAATCACACACATTGCGTGCAATCAGCCCCACAGACCCGTCACTACGACTCGCCAGCCACACCATCGCATGCCATCCTCTCTAGCTCGTCACCATCTCTCTTTGCGTACAAGAGCGTCTCCAGCTTCGCCAGTATGCCCGGTATCGTTCGTATCCAGTCGGCGGCTCTCGAGTCCTCCATTTCAACACTTATCCGCGTGCACTGCAGCTCGTCGGCGTCTCCAGCACTTCCAACAACAGACGGACGCGCTACTGCAGCTTCGGCTTCTCCTTTGGTATGCACTGCAAGCACTCCGCCAATGCGCCACCGCTTCAGTGCCGTCGCGTTCCGTGCGGCGTCAATAGACCCAATGAAGACGCGTCCAGTGATGCGCATGGGCGCGTCGTCCATGACGTCCTCCGCTTCGTCTTCTTCCTCCACTTCGTCTTCGGTCTCATGGTCGGCCCACGTCGCCCGGTTGGCTGGTGAAGCCATTTGCACACAAACCGGTACTTCTCATGGCTACAAAAAAAGCCCAGAGCGCATAACAACACAGGGGATGCCCGCAAAGTGCGCTCGTGGTCCCTAAGTGCGCTCGTGGCCACTAAGTGCGCTCGTGGCCACTAAGTGCGCAAAGAGGCTTCGACGGCGGAGCACGGCAAACAATAAAGCGACGACGGACCTTCCGCGCGGCGACCGCAGACGAGCCAGCGCGTCGTCCCGTAGCTTCGGTCGACGTTCATTGCCAGCTAAAGCGTCGAGGAGCGACACAGGCGCTCGTACCTGCGTGACTCGGACGCGCGACGGACGTCTGTAGGCTTCACAATACCGAACGAACGGACGGCGAGTGATGAGTCAGTCAGCAGCTGCAGCCGGTCACGCGGTTAACGGGATCCAGGGCGACGACGAAGACGCGATCGAGCGGATGCTCGGCCGTATGGGCGACCTGCGTGTGTCGGAAGCTATGCGCGCTGCGAACGTCTTGATGGACAACGAGAAGGAAGAAGAGGAAGAAGAGGAAGAGGAAGAGGAAGAAGAAGACGAGGAGGACGACTCGAGCGCTTACTCGAGCGCTTGGGACGACGACGAGGACGAGGACAATGAAGTCGAAGGCAGTGAAGAAGAGGAGGAGACGAGCTGGATCATCTGGTTCTGCTCTCTGCGCGAGAACAGCTTTCTGTGTGAGGTGGACGAGGACTACATTGAGGACGATTTCAACCTCACGGGGCTCAGTAGCATCGTGCCGTACTACGACTACGCGCTGGATATTATCCTCGACATTGAGACGCCGAACGACACGAACCTCACGCAGATCCAGCAAGAGATGATTGAGTCAGCGGCCGAGATGCTCTATGGACTGATCCACGCTCGCTACATCTTGACGACGAAAGGCATGGCTGCCATGCTGGACAAGTACCAGAACGTCGACTTTGGACGTTGCCACCGCGTGTATTGCCAAGGTCAGGCTGTGCTGCCAGTCGGCCAGTCTGATGTGCCGCGGCACACGACGGTCAACGTCTTTTGCCCCAAGTGCCGAGACGTCTTCTTTCCCAAATCGCAACGAGCAGGCCGTACGTGCAATAGTCGAGCAGGGATAGCAACAAGTGCTGGGCAGCCTGACTGAGCTATCGTTTTGTTGTGGCAGAGATTGACGGCGCGTACTTTGGTGCGACCTTCCCGCATATGTTCCTCATAACGCATCCCCACCTTGTGGTCTCGCCGCCGACGCAGACATACGTGCCGCGCGTGTTTGGCTACAAGATTCATAGCTCGAGCGAGTACTACACGGGCAAGAAGAAGAGTGCGTCCAGTCGCGAGCGGGAAAAGTATCGTAGGGTCAAATCGATGCACGGTCGATTGAAAAGTCGACCGAAAGACGAGCAGGCTAGGTGAAGTCCCAATATAAGCAGAGCGATGGACGACGGAAGGTGCCGGTTGATAGGGACTGGAAGAGAGGTGGATTTGGTACGCCTGGACCACCCACATTGGTAGCGACAGACGCTGCATATGCATCGTGAAGGTGTCCAGTGAGTTAGACGCCGCAGCGCAAGCGACTCTTTGCTTGACCATGCGACTTGCGGTAAATGCAAACCATCGGCATAATGTCACGTGCACCGTTCGTTATCGACCTGGACGTCGTCTTCACGCTCATCGAGAGACACGATTGATGCGTTTGTCAGTGTTGTCGAAAGCTGTGTCTACGCATCGTCGAACGCACCGCTACACTTTTGTTTCGTGACCGCTATGGCACGTTAAGAATGGCATCGACTGTCCAGGTAACGTGTCCACTGCCATCACGGTAGAGTCGCAACGAGAAGAAGTAGTCGCACTCCGAGCGAACCAGGTACTCTTCGATCAGCGATAGCGATAATGTCCGACTCCCGGGTCGAGTGGGTCGCGCTCCATCGCTCAGAGCTTTGACATAAATGTTGTCGATAACGTCAGCCGGCAAAAGCCTCATCAACGGAAGTGCTTCGGGCAAAGTCACTGTCTTCACACTCCTCTTGATGCTTGGTCTCTGGTACAGTACATTGATGGTCACTGCGACGATCAACATTTGCTCCATGTTCCTTTTTTCGCTGAGCTGCAGCAAAACGGACGGCCCATCCTTTTCTGGATCAGTCTCGTCAATGACAGCGCGCACCTGACCAACGAATCCGACGTGTCGATACTCATAGGCTTCCGAATGCAGCAATAGCACCGACAGATCACTGTAACAAGGCACAGCGATAAGTAACAATCACCACTACAAACGCCAACCTTTGCCACACCAACGTGTCGTACCTCAGCGAACACACGGTCAGACCGAACACTTGCTTGAACTCCTCGGCGCTTGTCGGCAAGCGGTTCCGGGGACAATACTTCGTTTCGGTGTGCGTGACCATGTTGCTCTCTTCCGTAACCTCATCCTTTTCAATAACAGCGTGTTTCCTGACACTGCTGGCGAAGTGCATAGTGCGGTGGCATTCCTCGATCGATTGAAACGGGGCTACAGCCTCATTCACACGAAGCACGGAAAATTCACTCGTCGTGGCATACTGGATGCGGGCACCGTTTGAGTCGGCACCAGACAGCACAGCCCACTGAAGCTTAGTGATCATCAACGTATCGCCTGCCTCGAGGGCGCGAAACACAGCTGGCTGAGAGCACTCGCTCACTCTGACGACCAATTCGTGCGGTGAGCTGCTGTCAATCATCTTCACCCACCGGTACACCGTCATTCTGCAGGCTTTGTCGTCCAACTCGCGCTTCCGACCAAGGCAGATCTTTCTCACATTCGATAGCACGCCGACAAAGTCGAAGTACATCATGTGCAAGCTGCCAAGCGCACTCTTATCCCAACGCAACGTGTTCAAAGTGGTCACGAAGCTGCACTCGAGCCACGATGGACGCAGCTGGGAATCACTGCATGGACCTGTTTGCTGCGGTACTGAAGAAATGTCGCCGCTACCTTCTAGCAGACGTGGTGCCACCTTTGTCATTTGCAAGACTTTCCAGTATCGCTCTGCGTGTAAACAGCAAGAGTGCGATCAGATAGACTGCTCACCAAGACAGATACAATACATGGTGCGTACTCGGCACATGAAGAGCACTGCCAGACGAATCAGGTCCGTAGTAAATCAAGGGACTGGTTGTCAACGTCAGCTGAAGCTTTTGCGGACACATGGTCGAATAACCTCGAAACTGGATGAGATCACCTTCGTGCAACGACAAATAGTACTTTGCGCACATCGAGCCGAGAAACAACACCTCGAATACTCCCGCAGAATCCACTTCAGAGCACAGAACAATTTCAGAGTGTCCACACGTCATTGATCCAGTCATGGCAACGCCAGCCTACCTTCATGTAAGGTTGCGCGATCGAATAGACGTACCGACAACCGCGTTGAACGCAAATGGAAACGGGTTCGCAACGTCTGGATCGTTCAAGTTGATCAGCTGGGACTTGACCCGAATAGCTCCAAGCATGGGCGGGTACGTCTTGCTCGATCCGTCCATTTCGTCATGCTGGATCTTCTCAAGCACCTCCAAAATCGTGAAAATGCTCTTGCACTCGGGCGTGAATAGATCCGAGCAGTACAATGGTTCAGTATTCCACGCAACTACTGCACTTGGCGTCACTTCGTTCAGTCTATCGTGCGACCCGCTATCGTCACCTTCGTCATCAGTCGCTCCAGGGACACCATAGCGACGGGCCCAGTCCCTTTCCAGCTCATCCAGTGGCGAGTCGTCTTCAGCTTCACCGCCAGTAAAACTACATGCCCAGTCGAGTGTGTAATGGTCCGACCGAAGTGGCAAGTAGTAGACGCGCTCTCCCATGAGCGGAAGCAGCTCCACGTCTCGTGGATGCACTGGCGAGACAAACTCCAGCCGCTCGTCGCTTTTCAAGACCACTTCGTCTCGCGGAGCTCCAGCCGTCCGCGTCAACTCGTTCGTGCGACAGAGCGACAGTACCTCACTTTTCTCCAGCACAACGACACTTCGTGCGCTTCTTCCAGCGGCATTGTTCCGAAGCACTTTTACTTTGTGCACCTAGTGGCAGCAGCAATGAACATACACAAGCACGTATCGGCACAAAAACGTCATAACGACCGCCGACATCGGTCATACAACCGGCACCGCCTCATTCCAACCGCTGCGTGACGCCACATATGACGTGCCTGCAGGATGCTACGCGCACGGAGCGCTCGTGTGTAGACGAGACGGTAGCACGCGGGATCGAGGAGGGTCTTGAGTTTGTAGCGTCCGTCGGTCACGAGCACGTCGAAAACGTCGCGAGTGTCGTGGAAAGCTGACCCCATTTGCGTCTTGAGTGCTGGATCGATTACGTCTGCGTCATAACGACAGTAGTGAGAGGGACAGAGAGAGCAGCAGAGAGACGAACGAGTTGGTACATACAGCGATAGATGCCCAGCACTTGGACGTTAATGGGTACAGTGTGGTCAGCGCCATCGAAGAAACGGCGCACGCCATGCGACGTCAGCGCCGCTGGAGTAGCACGTGCCATGCTCTTCAGCTCGATGTTTTGATATGACCAAATCGAAGCGCTCAAGCGGTATGCTATCGCTGTGATGCCGCTGTTCGGTCAGACGTCCATGTCCTGGTCATGTCTACAGTCGTCGGTCTATTTCTTACTACCGGTATTCGACGATTTTGACAGTAATAGTAGCACCGCAACCTTCCAAACAGAAATACTACTCCTACTCCTACTCCTCCTACTACTACAAAACAAGAGCCAAAAGTACTATCTACGACGACTACTACTACAACACCAGCAGCTATCGTCTTGGTACCACACGAGTCGTCCTCGCTTGCATGCGACTACTTCACACCCTCCTGCGGCTACTACTGCTACTTCTCCATGCCCCCACACCGGAACATGCCGTCGTCCACCACCTCATCGGCCGCGCGACGTCGCGTGGCGTTCAGTGGCGCCGACGTGATCGAGTACGACGCGGCGCTCGCCCCCGTCGTCCGTCTGTGTGGCGTCCCGTCTGCCGCGGCCGACGCAGCGCTCGAGTGCCAAGCGCGAGGCGTCGCCACAGTGCCGCAGCTGGTCGCGCAATACACAGCGGAGCTCCAGCACGCGATCCGCGCGCGTGGCTTTCAGCCAATGAGCGACGACCTGCAAACGCTGCAGACGCAGCACCACGTGATTGAACTGTTGTACGTGTGGACAGCGGTTGGGGTTGAGGCTCATGCAGACGCGACCGACGTGGCGACGCTGCGACGCGCGCGATTGGCGACAAAGCTTCTGGACGGACGTGTCGACGATGGCTACGCTTTTGGCCGTCGGTTCTTCGCTGTGCCGGTGTACGTGGAGTCGCTGAGCGCCGAGGAAGTGGTACAAGCGGCAGAAGCGCGGAACGTGAGTCTTCAGCAGCTGGACGAGCAGCAAAAAGCAGCTGTCAAAGCACTGGACCGAGAGCTCGTGGGGTGTCATGGGACCGCAGAAGGCCGACCGCTGCGGTCGTTGACGTGGAGGCAATTGATGGAGGAAGCACAGGCTCGCGGGCTGGCTGGGAAACGAGGCGACGCTGGGAAGGACAGCAAAGGGAAAAAGAGCAAACGAGCGTGGGTAGACGAGTTGCGGCCGGTGCTGATCGCTGAGGTCCGAGCGGCCAAGATCCAAGAACAGGAGGAGCTGCTGTTGCGTGCACGACTCACGGTCGAGATGGAGCGAGAGCAGGAGCGGAAGCAGCAGCAGCGGCTCGTGCAGATCATTGAGGCGATGGTGCCGCAGGCGGTGACGAAAGACGGTGACGAAGCGAGTGGCGCTGACTGTGTGGAACCGGAAGGTGACGACGTGGTAGGAAGAAGAGGAGAGCTCGTCGTTGGTGATGAGAGACAGGGATGGGAAAAGGGTGACACACGCACGTTCTTGGCAGCGCTGGCCAAGACCTTGTGTATACCTAGGGATTGCACGGAGGATGTCGATATGGAGAAGTAAAGCAAGCGACAGACGACGTTGCTCGAGCCTGAAGGTGCAGAGGATCTCGTGAACTTGCATCTCGTTTGCAAATCACATGCAGTGACGAGGGTGTAGAAAAGCAGGTGGCACACTGCGAGGCGTTCGAACCGGTCGCACGAAGTACGTCAATCGTCTTGGCACTGTTTGCACAAGCGGCTTCTACTTACCATGCCGTTGTTGGTCAAGACTGAGTATACGCCGCAAACGGATGGCACATGTGTCGCTAAGACAACGGTGTATAGTCCGAGAAGCGATGCAATTGCATCAGGGGGAAAATTTCACCGACGACATGGAGCATCAAAGATGTAGCGCGCAGAGCAATACGATTGCAACAAGCCAAAGCCCTTTTGACGGGTAATGGGAAAGAAGGCAAACGTCGAGTTGTGCAGCCCGCAAACGAGCATCGCGCGGATTTGCGTTGCAGTCGTCCGTAGTAAGTTGGTTATGGCGAGACATTTACGAGCGTGTGGACATGATATCTTTGGTCCATCCCGGCTGCGTGTCTGCTGAGTACTACTATGGCAAGCGAAGGCGGCGCCAAGCGTCATCGCAACGTCCTTCGCGGTCTTATCCAAGGCATACCCAAGCATGCGATCCGTCGCCTTGAGCGTCGCGGCGGTGTGAACCATATCTCTGGCCTCATCTACGAAGAGACCCGCGGCGTGCTCAAGGTTCGCCTCGAGAACGTTTTCGCGACTCAGTGACGCACCGAAGCACACTCGTCGCAAAACCGTGACGGTGATGGACGTCATGTACGCGCATAAGCGCCAAGGCCGCACGCTCTACGGCTTTGGTGGCTAGGCGGTCGGTTGGTCGCTGCTTGGCCAAATCCCTCGTCGTGCAACAAGCATCTAGCTCCAACCAGCGGACGGTGTGTACTTCGGATTGCCTCTCTGGTCGGACGACGAGACTTGTAGCCGTATATTGATGGACATGCTGAACAACAGTTGGACTGCTGTCATGTCAAGTAATCTGCGCGCAAGGTCGGAAGGGGCAGCAGATGTTGCACCCTGCAGCAGCTTCCAAACTCGATGAGCCGTAGCGGATATCTGAACGTACCACTGCAGTGAAATGGTCAGCAGCTCTGGGCTTTGGCAGTGTCCTTGCCACTCACGCGCTCAGGAGGCCTTCATGCGGAGTACATTACTCTTGCTCACTGCATTGAGCAAGCAGTAGCTGACGTCTCGAGAAGCCAAAGTGTACTGTGTCGATTGGTTTCCGACCAAAAAGCCACATAGCCAACGACGTCTGTGAAGCGATGTGCCAAATGGTTGACAGCAGGAAGAATGGGCCGCAGTGATACGCTGTCAACATTGATCCGCATGGAAGTGGTAATGGAGAGTTGACGCTAAACGGGGTGAGCATTAGTGCCTTCCGTGCCGATATTGACACTTATTGTCCGATCGATAACAGCAAGTGGCGAACGTGAAGGGCGCTGAGAACGACGATGATCTGCTGATAGTGGCAGGAATGATGGGTTGGATCAATTGACCGTGGCCGAAGCGATTACGACAAGAAAGAAGAGCGGAGCAAATGCGAATACTGCTTCGTTCTTGCCTACGCTTTCATTGCGGCCGGAGTTTTTTCTGTATCCTTGTAGCACGCAGTGTTGCAAGAGGGTTCAATTGTAGCCGACGTGATCGCATTGTGAACTTGCTAGCTAGCCTTCACCTTGCTTTGGAAGAGGCTGAATGGCGACCGAATGAGAAACCTGAGGCGCGGGCAACATGGACTAGGTAGCGCACAGCAGCCGCGATGCTTCGATCTGGAAGGAATCCGGCTTCGGTGTTGACGAATCGATAGTGGGCTAACGTACTCTCCGCCTTCGCACTTGTGTGTTCTGGTGATCATGCTGCAGCTATCAGCGCGTCCAGCGCCAGTTCTCACTGTCGACTGTAAGCGCAAACGATTTCAGCGGCTGTGGCACCTCTACTTGGCATTCGAGCAGGTTCTTCGACGCAATGGCCAGAGTTGTACTCGTCACCACAAGTTTGACTTGCCGCCGCGTTCTCTCGTGTTGGCGTGTATCAATTGATGAAGCTGGATGGACGAAGCAGTCATGACAACAGTGTGCAGTCTTCTCGATCTTCCCGGTAGCCTTTGCAGCGGCCGCGCGTGAAGAGGAAAGAGGTTCGCATTCACTTCGACTTGAGCAGTTTGTCGTGGCACTAATTGTGGTACCAGTGTCGGGTCAAAGGAGACGTCTACCAACAGAGACATGTGCCTCGTCACCACATTACACGCTGCGACTCGAAGCGGTTCCACATTGCACGCGAGACGACGAGGACCACAAGGAGAAGCGTTGCGTTGACGAGACGTATAGCTTCGTCGACAGATTTGGGTCACTGACGACTGTTGGACGGGCACTATGGAGCGGGGCAGAGGTGTTGGTGCTAGAAAAAGCGCAGTGTCTATTCGTTCGATAGAGTGGGAGCAGTAAACATCAGTGGAGGGAGCAGCTACAGTAGCTGCTAGTGCATAAAACCCAGCAGCTCTTGTTTAGACCTGACAAAAAACCCACAAGGAAACAAAGGACGTTGGTGCAAAACACGAGCAAAGTGTCGCTGTGCAGTCCACAAAACGACAAGACCTGTTGCCAGTACGATGCGACAAACTCTCGGGCGCGAGGTGGCAGCCGGGACTTTATTTGGCCGCACTTACTTGCTTCGATTTTCGACACTGTCTCGCTTGATCGACGCTGACAGCCTGTCTGTCGATGATTACTCAGATCGGAAGGACGCGCAACGTATGCTGCAGTGGCTACGGCGGTAAAAAGTCCTACTGCCTGCAGCTTCAACCCAATTGCCGCCCAATTGTCGTCCTCCTGCTCTGAGAATCGCAGTTGGCGAGTTGGCGCTTGTCGCGCGTGGCGCACTCGTGCACAACGGCCACTTGACCAGCTCGTAAAACGGAGCTGACGCTCACTATTTCAGTCTCTTTTTTTTTTGACTTTGACTCGGCAACGCGGGCGTAAGCGACAGTCCCAACTTATTAATAGTAAACCCCCCCCACACACGTACGCGTACGTACACATCCGCACATACCCATATTGGCGTCTGCCGACCTTTTTCGTGCTGCTCCGTCTCCTGCTTCTTCGCTGCCGGTACAACTAGTGGCGTCCAAACTCGTGTGCATGCAGACCATGTGGGCGCTGTCCTGTGGCAGCACTAGTGGACAGCCGTCGACGCCCACTGCCTTCGAGAGTCCGCCCATGCGGCCAGTAGCTGCCACGAAGATCGGCTACGAGACGTTTCTGGAGAAACGAGCAGCGGCAGCAGAGCTGCAGCGAGCTGCAGTGACCCCAGTGACTCCACTGGAACGGGCACTGCAGGAGGACGATACGCTGGTGGCCAACCAGTGGCTGCAGGGGAAGAAGCGCGCGTCGCCAGCTATAGTGGAGACCGTGCAGCCACCTGATCGAGGAAGAGATCAGGCGACCAACCGTCGAGCCAGTCGCACGCTGTCTACGCTCGACCTGGACGAGCTGCAGCTGCCCGACCTGCACGAAGCGCTGTGTTGTGTCTATTGCCGCCCTAGCACGTGGTCGCCTGCGTTTACCTCCCCAGGCGACTTTACGCTCAAGATGGCGTCGGTCTTTCCAACCAATGGCGAGATCTGCTTCCGCATTGCAGTCATGTGCAGCTGCGCGTGGTTCCTTCGTGACGGGGCGCGCGTGAAGCCCGTGTTGAAGCGACAGTACTACACGTCGTATGTTGAGCGAACGCAGCGCGAGGTTGTGCAGCTGACGGAAGCCCTGGCGCTTCAGTACTTGGGGCATTTTCTAGCGGAAAAGATGCCAGCGCATGGCGCACATGGTATGCGGAAGCAGCGAGGCGCTCGACGAGTATGGCGGAGAAGTGCTTCAGTTCCTGGATTCCGTGATGCAGATCACGGCCATTGGCTTCAACCGACTCGTGACGCTACACGAACCCGTGTGCAATAACGTGCAGCTTCGAGATTTCTTGGGACTCGCGCTGAGCTACAGCGAGCAACCTGTCGTTGCAACGAGCTCCTGTGACGCGCGAATCGAAGGCCAAGACGGTAGTGCTTGTCGACCAGTGCTGCCCAGCGCATGGATGGACGCTAATCCGAGTACGTCGTCAGATGCCATTATCAGCGAACCATGGCATGCCATGAAGCGCTCGCCACGTGCTCGTAGCTACGACACCCGAAGCGTTCGCAGCGACTGGGACTCGCCGGTGCCGTCGCGCAGGTCGACTCAACCCGGCGCTGGCAAGTGCGTCCGCTACGTCGATCCAAGATCCTGGACCGAGGAGCCACCGAGTGGTGATGGATCGTTCACCGTAGAGATCACGAGCGTCTCTGTCGTCGCCGGCGTCGCTCGGTTTACCATTAGTGTGCTCTACTGTGCCAGTGGACGCCTCGAGACCACAGCCGTCGAGCGGCGCTACTCGGAGTTTGACGCGCTCGCGCGCGCGCTCGAGGCAAAAGTGCCGTCGCTCCAGCTCTGCAAGTGGCTTCCGCCCAAGACCGTCTTCTTCCGCACCCTCACGGTCCGCTCTCTCGAGCGTCGCGCGGCGTCGTTGCAGCGCTTTTTGCAGCACCTGCTTCAACTCCGCTTCCACGGCCTCCTCGACGAAGCAGTGCCGCTAGCTGCTGAGCCGTCTGTCCGCAGCTTCCTCCACCTGCCAGCGGTCGAGTGGGTTGTCGTCCCATGGAGCAAACGGTCGCCTGCACATGCGGTGGCACGTCGAGAAGACTGTGGCACAAACGTCTCGCGGTCCCCTACGGCCGCGTCCGAGTGGTCCCAGTGCGACAACACGTCGCCTCGACGCACGTCGCTCGTCTCTCGGTCCGACACGATCTTTGTACGACGTAGCGACTCCATGTAGAGAGAGCGACAGACTCGAGCAACGTGACGACGGCACTAATGGATGGCCAGCGCTGGTAGTGGTCGGTCGGTCGGTCGGTCGGTCAGTCAGTCGGTCGGTCGGTCGGTCAGTCGGTCGGTCGGTCGGTCGGTCGGTCGGTCGGTCGGGTAATCTCGAGGAGCTCTTTGGTTTTCGCACATGTCGCAGATCTGTGACGGGTGAGAACCTCTGCAGTGTCATTGTTCATGCTAAACCACAGGACGACGCAGTTCTTCCTAGCGCCGCGACCACATGGACGAGGCAGAAGTCGACGAGCTGCGGCACCTCACGGAGCGCGTGTGTGAAACCGTCGCGGCGTACGCTGGCGCGCAATTGGACGGTGAGATACAGCGACGATAGTGAGCGGTAGCGATAGCGCTTTGAAGTCAATGCGAGCGCTACAGGCAATGGAATGGACAGTCGAAGTTGACGCTCTCTGTCTGTTTCTCTGTCTGCCTCTCTGTCTGCCTCTCTCTGTCTGCCTCTCTGTCTGCCTCTCTGTCTGTTTTTTTCGTTCGCGACTCGACGCCTCGACGGCTGCAGGTTCGCTCGAATCGATGCAGATACTGGAGACTGTGCTGGCGGCTGTGAACGCCAAGTACGTGGGCATGCGACGGGAGCTCAAGAGCATTGGCAAGTTGTCGAAGGTGTTGGAGGCTCGCGGTACGTTGTGGTAGACACGGGAACGACTGCGTATTGTCGCAGCAGTACAATCGTGACGTAGTGTCCTCCTTGTCACTGCTGTGTTGCTACTACTGCTGCTGCTACTAGCCGCTGCACTGCGGGAAAAGAGGACCGTCATTGACGACGTCGACGAGGAGCTGGCCGAGCTCGAGGATATGGTCGAGCAGCTCGAGAAGTACACGGAGTCTCTCGGTTCGTGCTCGTGCATGCAATGATTGGGTTTGTATGCCGTTGCGTGCTGGTGTCAATACTGACCCCCGCTCCTGCTACTGGTCCTGTCTTTTTGTACTGCGAAGAAGCCAAGTTTTATGAAGTGTGCTAGAGGTAGAGAGGATCACGATCCGGAGGAGATGTAGGACGGCAGGCGACATGAGTTTGCCATTGTTGAGCGTCGCCATGTTAGTGTTTTGCCGGCCCGTCGCCACATACTTCGGCCTCTTTGTGCTGGACTTAGTAGTGCTAATCGTCAGAAAGTGGGGGCCATTCACTTGGGTTTCGTATGGACCACAAGTTGTGCTCTTTTCCCCGTGTTCTATTCTTAGCTCTGAGTGGAATCCGGAAGGTGCCTGGAAAACCGCTCATTGTCGGGCGGAAAGTGTCGTCTTGCGGGCCATTTCGTCACTATCGCAAACGCCACGTGCGTCACACACATACGGAACCGAGTGCGAACATACTGAGCGATGTCGACAATGCAGAACATGAAGTGTGTGGTCGTTGGGTGAGTGAGTGAGTCTGTGAGTCTGTGGGTGGGGGAGGGGGGCCAACCAATTTCGACCGTCCCAACCTGCAGGACGACAGAGGAGATCGTGCACATAATTCGAAAGCTGACGTGTGATGCCTTCGTATGTCCGGTGTTGGTGACGTAGCGACGGCGCAGTGGGAAAGACGTGTGTGCTCATTTCGTACACGACCAACACGTTCCCGGACGAGTACATCCCGACGGTCTTTGACAACTACAGTGCCAACGTCATGGTGGACGGCCAGCCGATCAATTTGGGGCTCTGGGACACGGCTGGACAGGAAGACTATGACCGGTTGCGGCCACTCAGTTACCCGCAGACGGACGTGTTCCTCGTCTGCTTCTCCGTCGTCAGGTACGGCGTTCGTGCGGTCGAACAGGGGAGGGGGGGGAGGGGGTCTGTGCACTGCTCGAAGGTCCTCCTTTTGTGTTCGTGCTAAGCGCTGACGGTCGTTGACGTTGTTTGTGTCTTTCTGTCAGTCGGGCGTCGTTTGACAACGTCACGATGAAGTGGCTGCCCGAGCTTCGCCATCATGCGCCAGGCGTGCCGTTCATCCTCGTGGGCACCAAGTCGGACCTCCGCGACGACGAAGAGACGCTGGCAAAGCTGCGCGAGAAGAAGCTCGCGCCGATCAGCCACGATCAGGTGCGTGTTGAAGGCACATAGGAGTGAAACGATGCACTGTCGAGTCTGGTTTTCCTGATGACATGTGTGGTGGTGGTGCTGCTGCTGCATAGGGCGAGAGGCTCAAGAGCGAGCTCGGCGCCTACGCATACATTGAGTGCTCGGCGTTGACGCAGCGGGGGCTCAAGTTGGTCTTTGACGAAGCGATTCGATGCGTTGTTACAAATCAGCAGAACCCCAAGAGCCACAAAAAGACGTTTAAGTGTTCGATCTTGTAGTAGCTTGTGGTGCCGTGCCCTCTCCGAGGCAGGGGCGACACGCAAGCGGATGGTGTATCTTGGACTCGTGCTTTGCACCCATTTGTGCCACCATGTGGTCGTCGACGGCCGTATCCTAAACTCGCTCGACGCTATTTTTGACGCACCTATTTTTGCGCGTACGTGTGTGTGTTAATTCGACATCATTATCACGAAAAAAGGGTCAGCTTGCCCTTTTGGTTTTATAAATAGCTGTTTAAACAACGAAACGCTCATTTGTCAAGTGAACAATTGATTCCACGCACACTGCGATGCCCGAGAGCTCCAGTCTGACGTCGTGGCTGCTGGGCGCGGCTTACACCGGTGGCGTGCTCTGCACAGGCGCTCTGTTCCTTCTGTACATGTACCAAGAGAAGCTGCTCTACTTTCCCACGATCCCTGGCGCTGCCAAGTTCACGAAAGACAATCCTCCACGTACGTAACGCAACGCAGTCCATGACTGTGTGCTCTTCTCTGGTACTCATTGCCCCTATGGCATTGGCAGATTATCGACACCCAGGCGAGTTCCACATCGACTATGAAGACCTAATGATTCCGTGCAAGGACGGCGTGAAGATCCACGCGTGGTTGATGAAGCAAAAGAACCACTCGAGTCGTTTCACGCTCATCTTTTTCCATGGCAACGCCGGCAGTGAGTCCATTGCAGAGGATGCAGCCATACTGCTGCAAAGGAATTCGGCGCTGACCTCGACCCGTTTTTCTGTCTAGATATTGGGTATCGCCTGCCGAATGCCGTCCAGCTGTACCGGAACGTGGGTGTGAACATTTTGCTTGTGGACTACCGAGGATTTGGTCATAGTGAAGGAGATCCAACAGAAAGAGGCATCAAGTTCGACGCAGAGGTGCAGGGAGATACGCTACACTCGTGAGTAGTCGTTGAATGATGATGCTAATCGCTGGTTGCTGTCGTGCGGTCGTAGGCTGTCGTGGACGCCATGTACGCCCGGACGGACATTGACACGTCGAAACTCGTGGTGTTTGGCCGGTCGCTGGGTGGAGCGGTGTCGGTCTACCTCGCCGAGCGAGAACCTACAAGAGTACGTATCGACTGCTTATTATAGCAGCCGATGTAGTGCGTTGCTCACTCGCTCGTGTCATGTCATTGTAAAGGTTGCTGCCGTTATCCTGGAGAATACGTTCCTGAGCATATCCGCCATGGTCGACGCACTGATGCCGTTTCTGACGTACGTCAAGTTCCTGGTTCTGCGAATGGACTGGAACAGCGAGCTGGCCATTCAAAAGGTACAACAGCCGATCCTCTTCATTGCAGGAATGCAAGATGAGCTGGTACCTCACTCCCACATGGAGAAGCTTCGCTCCCTCGCGACCTCAAGCAAGCAAGTCGTGTGGCATCCCGTGGCGGATGGCACGCACAACGATTCGTGGCTACGTGGCGGCGACAAGTACTTTTCCAAGCTGCGGCAGTTTTTGGATACACTGAGTGAAGACAGCACGTGTTTGGCTCGCGACGACATGCGTGAAGACAATGCCGATGCTCCTCCGATCGAAGAGAATGCCATTCCAACGATGCTCCAGCAGCCACTGGTGAATTCCGTCGCCAAGAAGACGCAGTAGTAGAAATCCACAGCTGCTTCAAGACGGACCTCAACGCAAAACAAAAACAAACAAACAAACAAACAAACAAACAAACAAACAAACAAACAAACCACACACGACCACAATGGCACAACCAGACGTTGTTTTCGGCTACTTTTTTTATTTTGGGACAGCTCACAACTCGTACGGACGTTGAAGTAACCTCTTTAACGCACGCTCATTGGCTGATAAACGCCACGCACATCCGACTCCCGTCCAAAACCTCACGTCGGCCACGCCGCAGATCTTTCACTTTCGAAGTAGACGCCGAGTGCGCACTCACTCGCTCTTCGTGACTCGGAATCGGTTGCACGTGGCTGTCGATGGTGCTCCCGCCGCTCGCGCTCGTGCGCCGCCTGGCGCTACCGTCCACGCGCGCGCTGTCGTCGAGCGCGGCCACGTGGGGTGCGTTCGTGACCATGGAAACGCGTCCCAACGGCGTTGCTGTCGTGCGCTTGGACGACAAGGCGGCCCGAGTCAACACGATCTCGTCCAAGATGACGGCCGAGCTGACGGCCATGCTGGACACGGTCGAGCGCGACCCGCAGATCAAGTCGGTGGTGCTCATCTCGGCCAAGCCGGGCGTGTTTATCGCGGGCGCGGACATTGCCGAGCTGAGCGCGTGCCAGACGGAGGAGGAAATGCGCGCAATGTCGAGCGCCGGACAGAGTTTCATGAACCGGCTGGCGGACTCGTCGAAGCCGTTTGTCGCTGCGATTGAGGGCTCGTGTATGGGCGGGGGCCTGGAAGTGGCGCTTGCGTGCCACTACCGCGTGGCGGCCCAGAGCAAGAAGACGCAGTTGGCGCTGCCGGAAGTGATGCTGGGGCTCTTGCCGGGCGCAGGCGGCACGCAGCGCCTGCCGAAGCTCGTGGGCATCCAAGCTGCGCTGGACATGATGCTCACGGGCAAGAACGTGAAGCCCGACAAGGCGCTGAAGATGGGACTGGTGAACCAGGTCGCCGACGTGTACGCGCTCGAGAGCGCCGCCGTGGCCGCAGCCGAGCAGCTGGCGGATGGACGGCTGAAGAAGACAGTGACAAAGAAGAAGGGACTGGTGAACCGCGTGCTGGAAGACACGCCGCTGCGGCAAGTGGTGTTTAAGAAGGCTGGCGAGATGGTGGAGAAGAAGACGGGCGGGCATTACCCTGCGCCCAAGTTGATTATCGACGCTATTCGAACAGGCGTCGAGGATGGACTGGAGAAGGGCTTGGAGGTCGAGGCGGCCAACTTTGCCAAGCTCGGCATGACGAGTGAAGCCAAGGCGCTCATGAGCATCTTTTTCGGCCAGACTGCGCTCAAGAAGAATCGCTATGGCAAGCCTACTAAGCCTGTGGAGACGATGGCGGTGGTTGGGGCTGGACTGATGGGTGCAGGGATTGCACAAGTCTCAGCGGCGAAGGGCGTGCGGGTGCTGCTGAAAGATCGCGATGCCGTAGCTGCGGCGAAGGGGGAAGATTATGTGCGCAGCAATCTCGAGAAGAAGGTGAAGCGCAAACGCATGAGTGTGTACGACCGCGACATCGTGATGGCGAACGTGGTGCCGCTGTCTGACGAAGATGAGGTTTGGAAGACGCACATGAAGAAGGCAGATCTTGCGATCGAGGCTGTTTTTGAGGACTTGACGCTCAAGCATCATGTTCTGTCGGATCTGGAGAAGTACGTGTCGAAGGAGTGTGTGATTGCGACGAACACATCGGCTCTGTCGATCGCTGACATTGCGTCGGCTTGCAAACGCCCAGAAAACGTGATTGGTATGCACTACTTCTCGCCTGTCCCAAGCATGCCGCTGCTAGAAATCATTCCTCACGCGGGCACGAGCGATGCCACTGCAGCGAAAGCTGTTGACTTGGGACTGCGTCAAGGCAAGACAGCTATTGTGGTCAAGGACGTGCCGGGCTTTTACGTAAACCGCTGCCTCGGCCCATACATTGCTGAGACGTTGGCCCTTGTTGGGGATGGCGTCGACCCGGAGAAGCTCGACAAGCTCATGGTTTCATGGGGCCTGCCCGTAGGTCCCATCACTCTTGCTGACGAGGTAGGTCTCGACGTGGCCTACCACGTCAACCAGACGCTGTCAAAGGCGCTTGGCGTCCGCATGGAGGGAGGCGATGCAAAGCTGTTCGAAGAAATGATTGGACAGGGCTTTTTGGGCAAGAAGTCGGGCAAAGGCTTTTTCGTGCAGCCTCCCACGGGCAAGAAGACGAAGAAGACCATAAATGCTGGTGCCATGGACCTTGTAAAGAAGTTCCAAAAGACTGATCTCAAGCTGAGCGACGACGACACTGTGAACCGACTCATCTCGCGCTTTGTCAACGAGGCAGTTTTGTGCGTGCAAGACGACATAATCGCGTCCCCTTCGGAGGGCGACATTGGCGCTGTGTTCGGCATTGGCTTCCCCCCTTTTATCGGCGGGCCGTTCCGTTATGTTGACAAAGTGGGTAGCACCCAGTTTACGGAGATGATGCAGCGCTTTGCCGATCAATATGGCGAGCAGTTTTCCCCGGCGCCGCTGCTGCAAGACATGGCCAAGACCAACAAGAAATTCCACAAGAATTAGGCGCTGGTTCTGACATTGTCGGTAATTACACCGCCATGCACTGATAGCGATCCCGGATATGGACCATAGGCTGAAAGCAAGAGCAAGGCATATTTGATAAGTTTTCGTTCTGACGTGTAGCGCAAGTTGCGTCACTGTCGCATCTTCCATCCTTTGCAGGGCGATGCCACAGCTCGCAAGTGGGCAGCAGACGCGTCTTTGAACATGCTGTAGCTGCAATTGCGGGCCTGAAGAGCAAAGCTGATGGTGAATGCGCGTACGATGAGAGCCGACGTTTCTAGCAGCTCGTTTCGGTGTGTCTGTACGTCATGGATCCGTCAAGCGCACGCACGAGCGCGACCGCTGTTTCCATGCTCATTGAGAAGATGCAGCAGCAGCAGCAGGTATGTTGACGTTGGTCAATCGAAACAACGTGCACCTTCACATTTCGCCATGTAGACGTTCCTGTGGGCTGTTGCAGCCATGAAAGCAACCCATCGAGGCGCACGAACGAGGCAAAATCGACATGCGTGACGCTCTCTTCCTCCATCGAGACGTAAGCGGTCACTGCTGCTTTACGGCAGGCAGCAGAGCGAGCTCGCCAAGTTTCTCCGTTGCATCACTGAATTGCGTATAGCATTTGCACACGTTCCTGTATGTCATTGTCATGGTCTGAATGAACCCATGCACCAAACGTACCTGTTGCAAGCACATGGCACAAGGACTGACTGAGTCTGTGGCTCGAATGCTGCAGCAAGTGGCTACATCTGCTTCACGTTGTTTCTACTCTATTCGATTCGTCATAAATCGATCCAAACTCACCGCGTGCCCTCGGATCCACTTACCTTATTCGTTTGATTTGCCATAATGGACGAAAGTTCCATCGCGTCCACGAAGCTCTACGTGGGCAACCTCTTTTACGGCCTCACGCTGGAAGACTTGGAGGCAGAATTCGGCAAGGTCCGTCGGCCGCTTCCCTTCCTCCACGAGCTGCTCTGCCGCACTCGTGTCGTTCAAAGTAAGCGCTCTCCCGGCCAACAGGACTCATTAAAGCTGACGTTATTTTATCGTATTCGCTCTCCCTATTTTTGTATCGTGTACGTCGTTCCGTGTGTGTGTGTGTCGTTGTTTGGGCCTATTTTCGACCAGTTTGGACCGCTCGAGCAATGTGCTGTGAAAAAAGGCTACGCGTTCGTCCACTTCGAGCGGCTCGAAGACGCCGAAATGGCAGTGCAAGAGATGAACGACAAGGAATTAGGTGGCCGTCGCCTGCGCGTGGCCTTTGCCGTGTCGCACGGCTCGCAACGCCGCTACGACGGCCCACCGCCGCCTCTGCACGCAGTGCCCCCCGGCCCACCGCCGATGATGCAACCGCTGGACCCCATTCGGCCGTCGCCGCTGCTGCACAACCCGCGGATGGCCGTTAATGCGTCGCCGAATTTGTTTGTCGCCAACATCCCGCCCCACGTCAAGATGAGTGAGCTCGACGACGCGTTTGCTCGATTTGGTGAAGTCAAGAACGTCAAAGTGCTGCCGCAGTCACGACCTGACGCCCCCATGTCTGCCTTTGTGGATTATACGGATGTATCGTCGGCGCAAAAGGCACACAGTACGACGATTGTCATGGATGGACAGCAGCTGCGCACGGACTATAATTTCCGCAAGTACGTCGAATGAACGTTGCTGGATCATGGGGCTGAGTGCAAAGCTGATTGTATTGGTTTGTGCGTGGTGCTCTCTGTAGAAACAAAGGAGACGGACCGAAGCGCGTGGTAGGCAAAAGCCTTGACGGTAACTTTGATGGGGAAGAGCCACGCGGCAGGCGTCCGCGCTACGACTCGATTGACTCTCAATTCGTGAAGAAGAGCAAGTATGATGACGAGACAGAGGAACCGAGCCATCGTCGCCACCATCACCATAGCCACTCGAGTCGACACCATTCGTCGCGCCATAGTCGAGACGAACCGGAGGAACGGGGGCGCAGTGGATCTCCTTTGCCTTATCGTCACCACAGCAGCAGCAGCTTGCGTAGAGGCGAGGATCCCTCGAGACGCGAGCGCTCGCGGGACCATCCACCTTACGGACGCCCGGATGAGATGGACGAACTTGACCAACACGAACGCCGTTCGCATCACGCCAAATACTACAACCGGCGTCCACGGGGCGAAGAATATTCCGAACGTGAACTGGACAAGTCGCCGCCGCAAGAATTCCGTCGCCACAGTCGTCCGGAGATGCCAATGCGCCACGGATCGCGCCGCAGTCAGCGGGCTGACCAAAGCTGGTACGAAGAATGTGTTGGTCAATGATGTCCCTGTTTTCTTACTTTATGGTCCCAATCGTTGCTGGATTGGTTTGGTGCCCAGGTCGCCCTCCCACTCGAGGCCCCGCAGTCGTAGCCGCTAAGGTGTGCGGCGCTACAAGACCATGGCAGAGCTACGTGGTTGGTCTTCTACATTGGGCACAGACAAAAGCAGGCTATCGGTACCTCGTAATTGTTGTGGATTTGCGAAGAAAGCTTGGTCTGTAAGCAGCTCGGTCGTATCTCGAAAGAAATGGACTAAAGCCTCTGTGGTTGCACCGTTTACCCTCTGTGCTGGCTGACGGGCGTTTGTTCCATTGGTTTTCGTTGCTCGTGGATGGACTGTTCGACGGTATCTTTGGCTTACAGACTGCTTCCTACATCACGCAGCGGGTGACGTGGTAATTGTGATCGTGATTGGAACGCAGTGGCGTAGATGTATGAACTTAGAATTGTGGCCGTTTATCGTGGCCTGGACAATTCGGTTGACGGAGGTGTATGGGTATTTGGATGTTTGAACTTGGTCGAACAGGCATGGTCGAGTCCAAAAGACAGCTAGACGCAGTCTGCTCATTCCGTCACGAGTATCACCGCTGCAACGCATACTGCAGAGCCGCTTGGCGAATGGGCGCAGTCTGCACCACTTGACTATTGCACGATTTTTGACTGTGTGGGTGGCGTTACTGGTAGTTCATTAGAAGGTGGAAAGAAGACTGGTCATGTCGTAGGTATGTGGTGGTCGTACCTGCTTGACTCTGGCGTGCTTGTGTATACTGGAAGCTAGCTGCAGAGCCATCAGTGCACTACGCAACCACTGGTCCATACCATTTCGCGTGCTTGAGATTGGAGACCGGAGTCACGCTGGACAATCTGCAGCCTTGTTTTCCCGCCAACAAGTCGCAACAACAAGGCTCTTTGGCGTCGCACGAGGCATTCTGCTCCTGGCTGCGCATGTGGACATTGCATCTCGGGCGCCAATCGTTATCTCCCAAGCTTTGACGTTGCTATGGAACTTTTATCCTCGATGCCGTCGCCAACGAAGGCAAAAGTGGCTGCATGCGTGAAGGCTCTTGGCTGTGCCATAAACAGCCTCGCGAGGCAGGTACTCCTTGTGCATGAAATGATGCGGAATATTCTGCACTCGTGCAGAGAGCCATGTCGTCTCCTTGCTAGAGCTTGCCACACCGCCTCCCTGCTAGAGCTCAAGCAGAGTGAGGAAGGCTTTGTTTACCATATTTGTTCATTTGAGCTCAATGTCGTGGAAGTGGATTGATCATCCACTACGCTTCGGGGCCGTGGTGATACCTGCAGGATGCGCTTGTTGTCGCTGTTCAAAACACCGTCGTCGAGAAGCAGGACTTTCGGTCGCGCAAGTGTGATGTTCTACCCGATACCAATGTACTATGGTTGGTCTACGCTCGTGAGAAGCTGTGCAGGGTACATCTGGACCAGCAACGAATGATCAACTCTGTCCGCCGTCGCCTTCTCTCGACACGCCCGATTTACACCTGCAACATTCTTCGCTGCTCCTGCCCAAGAAACAACAGCGATCGACAAGCGGAATATGCGGTTGAATCCGACGACAGCCTCACTGCGCATGTCGTGACCATGTAGCAGCACCACTCTTGCTGAAAGATCGTACAAGTGCACGAGCGACGACGGCCGCACTTGAGCCGCGCGGACGAGCGTGTGGCCCGGATGCAATGAACGGACACATGGAAGACTCATTAAGCAATCGCGACGTCCCGTCCGCCTGCGGAAGTAAGCGATCTGCTGGAAAGGTCGTTGCCGTAGTTTAAAGGTCAGCACTGTTGCCGTCGTCGACGCGGCGCGCCGATATCATTACGTAGCCGTCGATCTCGGCCATCTCGAAAAGCACTAGTCACTACGGACGTACGTGGGCATCCTCGTCTGTCTACCTTGTCGACGGTGTCGAAGAAAAATGTGCTTCCTCGTCCCAAGCTACAAAGTGCGGCAACTGCGCGGATCCGATCGGTGACGTTGAGAAGGAGGAACACGCGGAGCAAGCGGTGCAGCTGTCACCGTAGCTCGATGGGTGTGGCGGAAGACCACCGAAGGTCCAAGGGGCGACAATGGTACACGTCGCGTCACGTGTCAGCGCGAGCGAGTTCAGGTATGGAAACCCTACGAAAGCGCACCTGTTTTCCCCAAGCGACGTCGTGTCGATGACGAAGAGCAGCGCCTGAGCCGATCACACGGAGAAGCGCACTGGCGAAAGATACGTGAGCAGTACCAGTCGTTCGCACCGACGCGAACAGAGTTCCACGAGATGGAGATCAGCTACAAGAAGACACACTCGAACTTCCCCCCACGTGCGTCTTCCACGAGCAACGAGGATCGATGCCCCACCTCGCAAACAAACTGTCCATCGCATCGCATCGCATCACACACACACACACACACACACGAGACACACACACCGATTCCACGTACACGAACGCTCGGCCGCCCATTCCGTTCCTCCGCTTCTCGGCACCTCTTTCCCTCACTCTTCAGCTCGCACTGTTCCAACGGCCGTCCGCGCTTCTCTCACCGCACACCACCTGAAATCACTCTTGAAAGCGTCCACTCGACCACAGTGCGAGTGACCAGAGCGATGCCCCCGTCCCCCTTCGTCTCCCTCCTCCTCCTCCTCCTCCTCTTCCTCGTCCACCCGCTCCCTCCATCGCTCGCGTCCGTGTCCCCCTCCCCCTGCGATCCCCACTACGAGCGCCGCAACGCCACAACCGGTCGCTGCGACTGCCGCGACGGCTTCCGCGGCCTCAACTGCCGCATGTGTACGCCCCAGAGCCCCTCGGCCCCCGACAGCTGTCGCACGGCCTTCGGCCCCGACGTCTCGTGCGTCACGGGCCTCACGTACGACGCCCACGCGTCGCTCAAGACTTACGACTGCGTCCTGGCCGCGAACCTCCAGGCGCTCGTGCCGCACGGGGCGCTAGCGGTCCAGTGCGACCGCACCGCAGCCACTTGCGCGGCGGCCGTCTTCCGCGCGAGGCAGTCGCTCCACAGCGTCCACGTGATCGACTGCCGCTTGACGCAGTGCGCGTTCGCAACGGGCGACGCGAGCGGCGCGTGCGCAGAGATCCAGTGCACGTGCGGCCCCCAGTGCTCTGCACTGACGAAAGCGCTCGTGGAGCACGTGCTGAGCGGCAAACGCGCGGCGATCGACGTGACGAACGGCTCGCAGTTGGCCATTGACGTCGAGGGGTCGCCACTGCCACTGGCTGCGACGTGTGAGGCGTCGGCCTGTGAACGCACCAGACCGAGTGGCAGTGGATCGAGTGGGGCCAGTGGCAGTGCTTCGGGAGGCGGAGGAGGAGACGGTCGGAAGAGACACTGGAGCTGGGCAGTCGTTGGTGCGGCTCTGCTGCTGCTGGTGGGCGTTGGTGCTGCTGCTGCTGCTGTGCTCTTGTGCTGTAGAGGGACGTGGGTGGACTGCTGGACAGTGTGGACTCGACGAAAGGCTCTTGGGAATAAGGTTGTGGCGTCACGCGTTGTGCAGACATTTGAGTTCCAGGACGTCAGCTGCTTTGGGGACAGTCATGGACCGGTGTCGGGGACGCCGAGGCGCATCTTGCACCGGATCTCGGGACGTGTCGCGCACGGTCAAGTGCTTGGGCTACTGGGCCCAAGTGGCTCGGGCAAAACGACGTTGCTGAATGCATTGGCGGGTGTGGACAATGGTCAGTGTCAGGTCACGGGTGACTTGCTGCTCGATGGCAAGCAGCTGTCGAACGGGTACCGCCGCATTGCTGCCTATGTCCAGCAGGACGATGCCCTGTTCTCGACGCTGACGGTACGGGAGTGCATTTCGTACTCAGCACAGCTGCGTCTCTCGGCGAATATGTCGGAAGACGAGAAGGACACACACATTGACCGCGTGATGGCAGAGCTTGACCTCAGCCAGGTTGCCCATTCGCGAATTGGATCCGTGGGGGATCGCAGTGGCCAACGTGGGGTCTCTGGCGGCGAGAGGCGACGCGTGAGCATTGGCATGGAACTGGTCACGTCGCCTCAGATTCTCATTCTGGACGAGCCCACGTCGGGACTCGATAGTTCGTCGGCGCATTCGGTCGTACAGCTCTTGAGAGATCTAGCCGGCCATGGACGCATTGTGATTCTGAGTATCCACCAGCCAAGCGCGAGGTCGTTTGTCCTGCTCGATAAGATTTTGCTGCTCGGCAAAGGCAAACTCCTGTACACTGGAGCGCCAGCCGAGTCCAAGCCGTACTTTGAAGACCTCGGCTTCAAGTGTCCTGAGGTACGTTGCGGACGTGTACAAGCTGGTGTACAAGTTATTACAAGATGGTTTGCGCTGGTTGTGCGCTCATAGGTGATCTAACTATATGGTGTGTTACTGTGTCGGTCTATAACGTGCAGCACGACAACACTGCAGACTTCATACTCGACATCGCGTCTGACACGAAGAACATACCGATGATTCGGTCTCACATGAAACAGGACGGACCTTTCCGTCGTCTGCATGCCACTGTACCACGACATGCATCAACTAGTCCGATGTTGACAACGGAGACGTCGTCGCTGATGGAGGAAGATCTGCAACTGGACACTCCCCGGGTCGAGACTATGTGGAGTGTACCAGCTGGAAGCGAAAAGACGTTTGTAGAATCAAAGATAGATGGAATACCAGCGTCGTGTGGCGCATCGTATAGCCCGCCACCTGCAACTATCGCTGCAGCCGAGACGGATGCAATCGGAGAAGATATGGAGACTCCATCGCGATCGATTGTGGTGGAAGTCCGCGTGCTGTTTGTGCGGACGACGCAGAACATTCTCCGTCACCGCTCGTTGCTGGTGATGCACGTTGCGCTGAGCTTGTCGCTAGCTCTATTCGGCGGGCTCATATTCAACCACGTGACCAACGATCTGGCAGGATTCCAGAACCGCATGGGCGCGTTCTACTTCATTCTCACCTTTTTTGGCTTTGCAAGTATGAGCTCAATGGACCTCTTCATCGGCGAGCGCTCGATATTCCTTCGTGAGACTGGCGCCATGTACTACGGAGCGTTTAGCTACTTTCTCGCCAAAGCCACGCTGGACACGTTGCTGTTGCGGATACTGCCTGCTTCGCTCTTCGCAAGCATCTTTTACTGGATAATGGGCCTCCAAGCATCAACGACGCGCTTCTTGCTGTTCTCGCTGACGTTGGTGCTCTTCAACGTCGCGGCAGGTGCAATCTGTCTTCTCGTGGGAGTACTGTCGAGACGCGTCGGGTCTGCCAACCTTGTTGCAACGGTAGTGCTTTTGGTCATGTTGCTGTTCGGCGGCTTCTTGCTCAATTCGCAGACGATGCCGTCGTCAGTGGGCTGGATGAAGCACCTGTCGATCTTCAGCTACGCGTTCGAGATCCTCATGACCAACGAGCTGAAAGGTCTGATCCTGGAGTTTGACGCCCCCGGGTACCCGGCCGTACCTATTTACGGCGAAGTGTACCTCAAGACACTCGGCATGGAGTATGCCAATCGATACTACGACGTGGCAGCTCTCGCTCTGATTGCAGTAAGTCTGCAAGTACTTGCTTTCTTGTTCTTGTCGCTGCAGGTTCCCGTCCACCGTGATATTGCTGAGCGCTGCGAAGACGGTGATGGGCTACGCCACGCAAAGAAGGAGGAGTACACGGGAGCCGTGAGGGCTAGTAGAGAGGGTCGTTTGTACACGTCGATGCGTCAAGTTCACTAGAGATGCCGGCTATGTGAAGTATCAATCCAGTATTTACGTACGTGTTTGCAGATGATCTGCAAACAGCGACACCTTCTTCACATTCATGCTTTGTGCCTGACCGTAACGAATGCTGGCTACTTTTGTATTCTCAGACACTCTTGTTCCAGTCGACACTCACTACTGGCATCAACGCAAGCAATGCGATCGATATCCTTGCAGCTACGTTGGTGTGACTGCAGCCCTTTATCGTCGTCATGCTTTACCGCGTGATCTCCTCGTCACCAATGTTCGAGTGCACGGAAGCACGATATTTTTTCTTCCTCTCGTAACTAGACACCACATATTGGTCGCCAGACGTCGCATGCACGTGGTAGAATTAGGTGTTACATTTGCACTTGTGCAATAGAGAATAAAAGTAAAAGCAAAAATATGCAGTGTTAATTGCTTCCTATGTCAACACTACGTAATGAATAAACCAAAACGGAACTGCAACAAGACCACGTCAAGTTGCACATGATCTCCGTCTCCCCTTGTCCCATGTGTCAACCTGTCACATGGCGTTCGTCTCTCTTTGTCCCACGTGTCAACCTGTCACATACTTAGCAAATCAGGTGTGGTCGGACTAACCTGCAAGAGGTGTTTCACTTGAAGTCCAGGACTTTTTGACCTGTCAGACTAGTATATTCTAACAGTAGAAGCTATGGACCTCTTCGTGACACGAGTGACGGGTCTGTCGTCAGCTCTTCATGTGTATCGCAACAGATTCTCGAGCAGGTCGATCAATGTGGAACTCTTTCATGTTCATCCATCGCCACCCACGACCTTAGCGACAACAATTTTGCATCCAACTTCGTGCCACAACGACCGAACGCGGCGACACTTGTATCTGGTAATGCAGCCACGTACCTCCTTCCATTGCGTTCCCACGATGCCTCGCTACCATTTGTTCATTTAGTAGCTTGACCAGAGCTCCTCGTAAGCTAAAAGGATGTTTCTGACAACGTGTGCTGAGTGTTGACAGAACCCACGCGTCAATGCACGATGGTCTTGATTGCCAGGCTATGCTCTGTCATGCGTGCCGTAGCACTCTTCCACTTCATCATTCCGGTGAGCGGTACGGTGAGCTTGTAACAGCCGCGACTGGATTGCACTCGCACGACGAAACTCAAGATGGGATCGCTCGGTCTCATGATTGATCTACCACGCCTTCTGCTACCGCACGTCTTAGCACCCACGCACGTGCATCTTTCTGGCGTTGGGATTCTACAGTGTGGTCTGGTCTCGGTGACGCACTGGTGAAGCACTCTGGACTTCCTGATCCTCACATGACGATCATGATCGGACCAATGCTGCGGATGGTATTCGATACACGAGTGGCGTCACTATCTTTGCTGCCACGTTCCTGGCGCACTCTGATCCTGGCCGCCTTGACTTGTGTTTTGGGCCACCGACTCTGCACGTCTCATGTCTTTTGAGCCATTGACTTTGCACGTCTGTGTCGTAGCTACCGCAAACTTGAGCTTCGCCAATGCTCTGAGCAGAGCGAATGGCGTCAGAGTACACAGCGTGAAGCATGGGAAGACCATTGGAGTCAACGACCGCGGCCAAGGTCTTTTCCCGATCGCATGTTCATTTGTTGCCGCTTTCGCTCGAGACCCGATGAGATCGTAGAGGGTCGCCGCGGAGCAGAGTGAGCTCTTACTTTTATCTGGGCATCTGGACGTGAAGTATAGCACTGGCGAGTTGTCGCTGCGTCAATCAAGAATGAACTGGATGACTGCTGATCTTTGTCTACTGGCCATGTCGACCACGCTAGCACAGAGATTGTGTCAGACATCCCTGCAAGTGTTGGCAAGTCAGTTGGAACGCACTCGACACCTTTCCTTCGATGCACAAGACGTTTATACCGCAGTCGAGTATGCGGGCCAAGAACGGACACAGGTCAGTCGCTTGTCTTCGTACGCACGACTTCAGCATCTCAAGTCGCCGCGTCAATTGTGTGAAGCACCTACAGCTGTCTCCTCTTTGCAACTACAGTATATAGATGTGCTGTAGTAGCCAAGCTTGCTCTGGGAAACTGCGCTGTGCACTCCATTACCACCCCCCCCCCGAAACGCATCTTGTGCCGAACGCCGCAGCTATCTACGCTACTGACGTCTGGCGCCGGTATGAGACCCCCCTGTCAGACATTCCAGCGGATTTAGCTACTCGACCAAGCAACTGCGTCTCGCCCGATCAAGGGTCGACACTAGAGAAAGCTGATGGCTACGTGGAAATCAAGTTGACTCGCTTCATCACGACGCTTTTCTTGAAATGGTCTGTCAAGTTGCTTGGCGGCCAGATACGAAGTACAGCTGAATGTGGAGATTCCGCCACCCTCTGGTCCGTGTACAAACGAAGTCAGTACCGCGACCTGTTGGGCATTGTATTCGTGTCTCATCCACAGCTCATCCACATGTCGGCACGGTCGTTGCCGGTCAAGGTCTGAGCTGTGCATCGAGCATTATCATGCGTCATTCGATTCTCACTTCGTATCTCTGCTTGCAATGTGATACCGAACAGAACGAGAAGCGTACTACGGGCCTATCGTTCAGACCGACTTCTCCGGACACAGTCGCCATAGTTGTAACTGTTCGGCGCAGGCAATACGAATGATGACTGGCACGGTATCTCATGTACAGTTGCCTCAATTGCGCACCTGCCTTCTGAGGCGTTGCCAGGACGATGTTTGTAAATCTTAACAATCGCTAGATCTGGCCACAACGTTGGACGCGACATTGTACTACTTACACAGAAAGTCAGCAAGTCCATGGAATGTTTGCGGGGAACTGTGTCATCGGTAGACGAAGTTTGTTGTACACACACCATCGTCAAGCTTGACAACGTTGCTGCTATGCGATCGACTTTGTCAGGTATTGCTTTGCTCAGTTTGCATCAGTGCCGCAGAATGTGTGAGTCAAGACTCTTGTACGTCGCATCTGTTGGTGTCGCACATGTGGTCTTGCGATGTGGTCAAGTCTGTTGTGGTGCAATATCAATTTTCGATGATCAAAGTACGCATCGATGAGACGGTACTTGTCGATATATAAGCACTTACTCATTGATCGGGATTGCCTTGCAGCATGTAGACAATGCGAAGGTTGTTGTGCGTGCGCGGCTGGACCGGCTAGACAGTCGAGCATAGATAAGCAAAACGGGACGATGGATTCGAGGAGAGCTGCACCGACGACTTAGATACTACTTGTGGAGGTCGATAGGTGGTCTGCCTATAGACCAATGCCAACGAAACCATTCCGGGTGAATAGTTTGTCAAGACTGAGAGTGTCGGCTATCAACGTGTTTTCTGTCGTACGAAGGGTATTTGCTACAGAAATATACAATAGGAAACAATCGAGTGCAACGAGACACAACACGGAGCAAGGTGTATTTACCGACCCTTAGAACTCAGCTACCAAATCTTGTCTCCCCCTCTTCAGTACTGATCGCTAGTGCCGTCGCACTGTCGAATGGTTGTTGGCATGACCACGGATGACGAAGATCAGTTCTCCATGTGACGTCGCAGTAGCGAGGAACCCCTATTCACAAGTTAGCGAGGTCATTTACAGTATGTGTTGCAGCAACTACTGATGTCCTTTCCATAGTTGTCAGATTTGACACAGTTGTGGTTTGCATTATTGCTGACATCAGAGTCTTTGAGACTCTGACAAAGAGGGTTCCCGTAGCAGGTAAAAGATTTACAAAATAATTCACGGCAACCATTAGTATCGGTCGCGTGGGCGCAAAGCTCATCAAACCCCCTTAACCAATCACGGACGACTTCATAGCAAAAGCCTCGAGATTGGTCGGGTTGATCGGCTATGGGGCTGTTGTCGGCGGAAGAGTTGACTAGGCCTGCGAAGGCGGCGACGTAGACGAGCAGATTGCCATTGACCTTCATTCGTGATGCGGTGATTCTGGATGGACCTGGCTGGATGTTCCGAGTGCGGCGAAATCGAGAATGGCACTGCCGATCACAACGTGCGGGGCGGAGAGGACTAGACGCGAAGTTGGGATCTAGCGACACGGCTGGCGGCCAATACAAACGGGAAGCAAAAAAGGAGTACGCCGTCGCGTGAATAGCTGTCGCCTTCCCTGCATAAAAAATCAGGATTTGGTGGGTTGTGATAGCCGAATCCAGTGAACTCGCCGTTCCGTCTGCTATAGAAGGTGGTGTCAAGTACGTCCATTATTATGATAACTAACGACTGATAAGTGTGACAAGAAGTACGGCCCGGGTATCGGGTCGACAACTAAAGGGCTCCGTAGAGCCAGGGGCGACGGCAACGAGGTCAGAGACCCTCCTACCGAAGCCAACTACGAGTCAATCATGACCGCTGGCGCGACCAAGTAGACTGGGGACATGCGTACCGCCTGAGCGGAAGCACGTACAACGCGGGTATGCTGCCATATAAGGCAACAAACCCCTTTAGGACCGCTTGCGCGGCCCCCGACGTGGAGTGCGAACACCGAAGTGACTGCGTGGCGTGGAGAACGCCAACCCGCCGTATATCTCTCCGAGGAGCTCAACCATCTGCGATGGTGGCCCCCTTCAGCCGCTTGCGCGGCCCCCGACGTGGAGTGCGATCACCGAAGTGACTGCGTGGCGTGGAGAACGCCAACCCGCCGTATATCTCTCCGAGGAGCTCAACCATCTGCGATGGTGGCCCCCTTCAGCCGCTTGCGCGGCCCCCGACGTGGAGTGCGATCACCGAAGTGACTGCGTGGCGTGGAGAACGCCAACCCGCCGTATATCTCTCCGAGGAGCTCAACCATCTGCGATGGTGGCCCCCTTCAGCCGCTTGCGCGGCCCCCGACGTGGAGTGCGATCACCGAAGTGACTGCGTGGCGTGGAGAACGCCAACCCGCCGTATCTCTCCGAGGAGCTCAACCATCTGCGATGGTGGCCCCCTTCAGCCGCTTGCGCGGCCCCCGACGTGGAGTGCGATCACCGAAGTGACTGCGTGGCGTGGAGAACGCCA